TGACTGAGTGTAAAGTGAAATAATAAGAGAGTTCAGGAATGACTAAATGCTAGAAAAAGGCAACTGTAGTGCTTGTGAGTGAGCAGTTGTGAGAGGTGTTAAGAGAGATGATCTGTGGAAGTGCATATAGTAATTTGATACATATTTTATGTAGGTAGATTTTAGTGAAAATTTAAGGTTTTTATGATGTACACCATATTTTCATTGCAATATTTTTCCTTAACTTGTATTCACCTAGAGGGCTGGAATTATTTGTTGAGTCACTTTTGACACGTGCAGGAGAAATTACCACAGCCCGTCATGCACGGACACTGACGCCAGCCCACTTGTAAGTTAACTATTGAGGTTATAATTCCTTAAATATGATGCTTGATACAGTACTTGATTTTCAGATTAGTAGTGTGACATAATATGTAAGCAAGTACAAGTAATATGCTAATAATTTTATATCTTTTTACATCTCAGAAAGCATTGTATTATGGCAGAGAGGAGATTTGACTTCCTGCAGGACCTAGTGGCTTCTGTAGCAGATATAAATGCCGATGGTGACACTGAGCCTGGAACTCCTACGCCACGCACTCCCATGACACCTGTAACACCTTCGTTTCCCATGCCAGGAAGTGCACCTGCAATGCCCAATACACCTTCGGCATATCCTCTTACCACTCCAATTGCAGCGCCACCATCAGGTGAGACAGTTCAGGATTTCAGCTCCACTGTTGGTGCATTGATGAATTAGGATTTTATAACATGTCATCAATATATTTTGTATTGTTTATTTGAATTCTGGGAAATTCTTCTAAAAGGTTGAACATTTGCTGTAGAAAGGAATATTTGTATAAAGCATTGCAAGTGATATTGCTGGTATTGCTGCTCACTTCAGGGAAGCTTGTTACAATGAATGGAAACTTCCCTAAGTAAAGCACTGCAATGTTGGTTTGGTTTTGAAGTAAAGTTTTCTCGGTGAAGTCAACATTTGCTTTTGTTAAAGTATAGTGGAATGTTATTTTTATTACTCGAAAAGGGGTAACAAAGTATAAGATATTGTCAGGACATGTGTTTTCTCCAGATTATTTCATGATTTTTACTCATTTTGATGGAAGATTCTTAAGCAAATGCTATTATTTTTTATTGGACTGTGATTTTTTCAGTGATTAGTATTGATTTTCTTGAAGATATGTGGTTATGATGGATTTTATAAGAAGACTAGAAATCGAGGAGTAAATGAACATTAAGTAACTGTACAAACAATGCATTGAAATTATTTGTAATAGGTGAAAGCTGGGCAGAAAACAAAGAACAAAGAGGACGAGGAAGAGGAAGAGGCAGAGGTCGTGGGAGAGGAAGAGGAAATGCTTCAGCGACAGCAGCTGTTGCTGGCCGTGGCACACCTAGACCAAGGTCAGTTAACAAAATTTTTTGGTTATTTGAATCAGTATGTAGCTATATGATTGAATTTACACTTTGTGTTTGTGTTTATTTTGAATATATACCTAACCCTTTGCTATTGTGCCTAATTGGTCAATGATTCACTGAATTTATATCAGGGAAAAAAAACTGAACCTATTGAGAACATAAATAAAATGTCATAGCTTCTGTTAAGTTGAATGCCAGCAGGAATTGAATGCCAGCAGGAATGGGTAGACAGGGTTGCCTAATGGCACCTAGAGGGCTTGCTTGCTTGCAATTCACTTATCAAAACTTGTTGTTTGATGGTCAAGATCACACACTATCAATATCATCTGTACTTTTCATAAAGTGATGAAAGTGGAAATATCAGTTAGTCACTGAGTAACAATGTGACCAATTAGAATAATACTAAGTGCACAATCTAACTTCAAAACTATTATGTCACTAAATTTTGTGTGGGAATGGGGTGCATGCTAGCAGAGGGGAATTCATGATAGTGAAGGAACACATGATAGCAGAGGGTTAAGGTTTTAGTAATATACACAACAGTATAATGATACATGCAAATACACACAGTTATGAAGTTATGCATTGTAGAGTGGCAGTGGCCATTGTATTGTGTGAACTGGGGTTTGTAGGGTTAGGTAGATATACAGAAATTCTTTTAAGTGGTCCTCATTTAGTGTGACCTTTTAACCCACTAACGATGGGTGTTCCATATATAAGACATCCAAAAAATAAACATTGCTGGGTGTTCCGCCAGTGTGACGCTGTATTGGGGCTTGCACTCTGATGCAGCAGCGGGCCACGGCGGACGGGCAGACAGAGTTTGGGGCAGCTCGGCATGCCGATTTTGTAGCTGCCTGGAATCTTTTATTTTCGGCTTCAAAATATACCCGTGTTAATGGGTTAATAAAGAAAAACATAATTCACTGTTTACATTTGTACAAAGAAAAAGCAACATTTACAGTAGTAACATAAATATTTTTTATTAATTCTTTTTTATTTTATCATTGTAATGAGTGACTATTTAAAACTTCCTTGCAGTCTAGTTTGCATATTCTAATCTTCGCACACTTATGAACAGAACTACTTATGCACACACATGCACACAGTTATTTACTTATGCACAATCACACATTTAATCAGGCACATGCACACACTTATCCACACACACATGCAGACCACCATTTGCAAGTATAGAGACAGCTTAATTCAAATACACATGCTCATTCACGCACTCTGTTTGTTACATGAAACTTACCTTCCCTGTAGAAGTGAGATATCAATTGGAGAAATATAAAATTAACATTTATTCTTGTAACTGATTGATGACCAATTATAGATCTCTGTTTGTTAATGAATATGATATCATAGGTTTCACATCTTTCAACTTCCATTGATACTGATTGTTGAAAAGCATTTTTATATTCTCCGTTTGCTAATGTGTTTTGTGGTCTTTTCAGAGGACGGCCAAGAAAAGTCGTGGCGCCGGCTAAGCTAGTAGAGGATCCTGATTCTGACGATTGTCTTTCTTTGGACGTTGATACTGATGAAAATGAGGTGAACTCTTGTAGAAATCTGTTTAATGATGTAATAAATTTTTTACAGATCATTTGGATAAGTTTTGCTCTGAAAATGAACAATATGGTTTATATTTGTTTATGCTGTAATCTTTTTCCTTTTTGAAGTTATGTAGTAATGTAAATTAATAAGCAACTTGATTATCACAAAAGACAGTAAATATTTGTTACCAGTGCATAATATCTGGAATTTGATTGCATTCTATTGCAATAGAAAAGGAAGTAGATGCATGTGTAATGATTTATTTTTGAAGATAAAAAAGGACAAGAAAGCTTTGGAACATTTATCTAGGTTGAATTTGAGTAGATTACCAGGTGTTAATTAAGACAAAAAGTATACATCTTGCTTTATCTTTTAAGGGGAGTTTTTGGCAAAAATGTAGGTATGCAATATGATATTGATTATGGATGAATTGCTATAAAGAGTTTTATCATTACCCTCCCCTGTATATCACCCCACTCAAAAAAAAAAAAAAAGTGTAATAGGACCTTTATGGTTAGTTCCACTGCTTTCAAAATAATTCAGCTACAGAAAAAAATATGATCAATACTTTGTATAGGAATGATTCTACTTGCTTATGGTTTTTGTTTTGCTGAAATCTGTCAAAAATTGCAGGATCGTTTTTTATTCTTTACAGGGACATACTATTGTAATACTGATATTTTCCAAAACCTTACCCACAGGATGGGTCAGAAACAGATGAAGAGGTGATTGCAGTGGCAGAAAATCCCAGTGGAAACTCCAGAAAGTCCCCTTCACCTCCACATCCAAACCCAGTCCCCAGCCTGAAAACACAGCCAAAGTAAGTGTCAAAGCTTGGGAAGCCAGGTTCGGAAATTCTTCGGTAATGATTTATCAGGTGTGATTTATTGATTTATGGAATCAATAGCTTAAAAGCAGTAATGCAATATTTTATGATGATAATCCTTTGCGCCTTTATGTACATAACTTATGTTATGTAGTGGGTTATATGTGATTCATTAGTGATTATTATTGTTATTTTTTCAGAAGTGAAAGTTCGCCGCAGATTCCTGGCTTACAGATATCTGTAGGTGGAGGGTTTACCCTTGGTGGAGCAGCAGGAACAGGTAACAGCCCAATCACTTCCCTGTCATCTGTGCTCACAACCTCTGCAGTTGGCACTGGTCAGGGCATTCAAATCACCATCCCTGCATTACCTGCTTCAGGCATAAGTGTGCCTGAAGAGGAGGTTTCACCAACTGCCAGTGTTACAAAGTCTCCAAACCAGTCTCCCAGCACACAACTCACAGCTGGGGTACGCCCTTCATTTGGAGTACCTGTTCCTGTTATAACTTCAGTTCATGCCCTACAGAACAAGCCACAAGGGCCCACCTCATTGACATCATCTGTTAAACCTTTACCTTCCCAGTTGTCAATTAATAACCAAGTTGATGAAGATTATGATTCTTAGTGATGTAATCAAGTATGTAAATTATAAAGTTACCTCTCCTAAGTAAGCTAATGATAAGTCTTTTCAAATCTCATTACACTTGAGAACAAAGTTAAAGATACCTCTTATAATTTGTCTCTCTTATTTAAGCCTTTCAGCTCAGTGTCCTTGTTAAGTATCTTAATATAGCTTACTGGAGACACCAACAGGATTTAACCATTGAAAGAGTTGGAACAGTTTCAGCTGTAAGCACTATTTTAAAGGTGTTATAGTTATGTTTTCATTTGTGATCATTGTATTCAATGCTTGAGAACGTGATATTAAAAGGAAAGTATTGATTTTATGTCCTGTATATTGAAGTCGGATGCAGATTTGTCTTGTAAGTATAGTAATGTAAGGAGTCAGATTTTCTCATCAGTGGTATTCTAGTATTATTAATTGTGATAAAAGGGTATTGTGATTCCTTTCACTTACTTTGGGAAATATATATAATGCCAAATGTGAGATCAGGGTATGGAAATCTACTTTGCTCAATGCACGTGCAGAAGGTGATGACCCACTATGGTTAATGAATTTATTTTTTTTGCTATCACTT